AAAGCAACGCTAAGCCCGCCGATAATACCTCTCGTAGAAGCCACCCCTGAGTACAAGAATTTCTTGAAAGTATGCTCCTGGGATGGTTACGACTGGCATGAGTGGTTCCTTCATGGCGCGGAGCGTTAGCGAAAAACTTCAGCATCCGCCTCAAGCATAGCAGCGACGACCTCGCGCATTATATCACGAGCCTCTTTTTACCACTCAGGAGTGAAATACTCGTGGGCGACAAACGCAACCAAGTGGAAGCAGACAATCATGTTCTTATTACATGCAAATGAAACCGTCTGTTTCTAAAACTTAGTTCGAAGCGGGAGGGTTCGTGATTTTTTTTTATCATTTCCGCTTCAACTCTGCCGCGGATGTCTTTCTCCAGTTTCTGAACATCAACATCAGGAAGCTTTCTCGTTGATGGTTTGCGAAGTATCCTTGCTCGGACCTGATCTTTCAGAAAGTCGTACTGCTGAAACTCTGAAAGGATAGTGTCGAACTCGTGGGAAGACACCTCGTTGTTGTTCAAAGCGTTTGAGAGCAGTCTGTTGACGGTATCCCGCTTGGCAATGGCGAACGTGGTAATCTCTTGATGTTTCTTTATTTTCGAATCGAGTTTTTTGCTGGCNCTTCAACTCTGCCGCGGATGTCTTTCTCCATTTTATTGACATCGACCTCGGTAAGCCCTCTCTTCGACGGTTGGCGAAGCATCCTTGCTCGGACCTGATCTTTCAGAAAGTTATATTGCTGAAACTCAGAAAGGATAGTGTCAAACTCGTGGGAAGACACTTTGTTGTTGTTCAAAGCGTTGGAGAGCAGTCTGTTGACGGTATCCCGCTTGGCAACGGCGAGTGTGGTAATCTCTTGATGTTTCTTGATCTTCGAATCGAGTTTTTTGCCGGCGATTATCAACCCCGACGAAACGAGAGCGAAGCATCCACCAGCTCCGCCAAGAGGAACTGCTGCCGGCAGGCCAACCACAGACAGAGCGGAGCCAAAAATCGCGATCAAGTTCAATCGGTTTTGCCCCAAAATTTCTGATTACAAGCTGGGCAGCAGGTTGATTTATTTCTGTTTCCAACGCTTTATATTGATATTTGTCGAACAGACCGTCTATTACTTTTGCCATGCTTTCTAAATTATAATTCCCTGGGGGTAATTTACTAACGGACAAAGCTTTGTCTTTGTTCTTATCTCCCAAGGTGGCTGAACCTTCCCTTTTCAAAGTGTCCCAGCTGTTGTATAAACTGCAAGATATGAGTTTCATGAAATGTACTTTCGGTATCGGTTCTTCAAAAGATATTGTCCCTCCGTTCTGTTGCGTGACAATAGTGAGAACAACCATTTTATATTTAACAAATAAAATTGTGTTCAAATAAGATGGCTAATTTGTGGAATGGTCCTGCGTTAAAAAAAGCGGAGGCGGCGAAGAAAAAGGCGTGGACAAACTTTTTAACCCGCTTCCCCAAAGCGAACAAAAGCCGGTTCGTTTCGCAAGGAAGCGTCGACGAGAAAAATAACGCGACCGCGGAGGTGTTTTTCAAAGAAAGCGAAGACTCGTTTCAAAGCGTCTTCGGTTCAGATAGAAAATATNTGCGAACAGACCTTCTATTGTTTTTGCCATGCTTTCTAAATTATAATGCCCTGGGGTTATTTTACTAACTGACAAAGCTCTATCTTTGTTTTTATCTCCCAAGGAGCCTGAACCTTCTTTCTTCAAAGTGTCCCAGCTGTTGTACAAACTGCAAGAAATGAATTTCATGAAATGGACTTTCGGTATCGGTTTTTCAAAAGATATTGTCCCTCCGTTCTGTTGCGTGACAATAGTGAGAACAACATTTTATATTCAACAAATAAAATTGTGTTCAAATAAGATGGCTAATTTGTGGAATGGTCCTGCGTTAAAAAAAGCGGAGGCGGCGAAGAAATATGCGTGGACAAACTTTTTAAACCACTTCCCCAAAGCGGACAGAAGCCGGTTCATTTCGCAAGGAAGCGTCGACAAGAAAAATAACGTGACCGCGGAGGTGTTTTTCGAAGAAAGCAAAGACTCGTTTCAAAGCGTCTTCGGCTCAGACAGAAAATACTGGAGCGCGGAAATGAGAAAAGCGCTCGGTCTGGGCGACAGCGGGGGCTTTCCTTATCAACTGTCGCTGCTTGGTTCAAAAGTTTCTTTGCCCATCCCTGCGGTACCTTTCGACGGCAAAGCGCAAGCTTGAAAAAAATATTCAACGCCGAAATCAAAATCTACGTCACGCCTGACCAATATTTCACGACAAAATTCAGAGAAA